ATAATAAGTTGAAATAATAATAATGACATGAATTCATCTGCCCGGGGTTTCTGTGCACCCACACCACCAAAGGAACTCATAGACACACAAAAACAAGCAAAGTCTTTATATTTGTAAATGATTTATTATTCATTAGTTTCCACAAACATCATCATTAGTCATTGCACATAAAGCTTAGCGACCTCAAGAGCTTGACGTGCAAGTGCGGAATCATTATGCAAACTTAAATTCATAAAATTATAATTCTCTTTAATGCTGTTTTCAAGCTCACAGAGTATTAAAATGTAAAGAACCACGGACAGGAGAGACAGAGGGACCTTCAGAGTGCAGGGATCAAGTTCAAGTGAAATCATCAGTGAGCAGATAAGGCATTCATTGTGTGGGTATTGTAGAGAAACACAAAAGAAAAGATCTGATGCTCTTTGATTTCACATTCTGAGCAGCCTCCTCGCTCCATGTGATGTTCAAAGATGTTCCTCACCCTTTTTTGGAAAAAGTAAAAGTTGTGTTCTCTCAACAATACTCAACAACCTTCACGGAAACTTCCTTCGGCTCCACCGTCAGAGGACACTGCTGGCAGCCCACCCAGAAGTACGGGAAGACTCTCTCGGCGATGGCGTGCTTGAAGGTGTAGATGTGCGTGTTGTCCTGCGGGTTGTAGAACGACACCCGGCCCTTGTCGCAGTCCAGCAGCACCCTGACCCTCTGTGGGTTCTTCTTCAGGGTGAGGCGGGACAGAGGAGAGGTGCCTGCGAAGTACATTTTGTGGTAGAAGTACACGCACAGGTAGCCGTTCATCAGCACCGACGACACCTTCTCTTTCCTCAGCACCGACTCTTTGGCCACGCCGACGACCCACGCCGTGTTGTCGCCCACGTTCACGTCCCAGGAGTGCTTCCCAGAGGTGAAGCCCTCGTGGCCCAGCACGGCCGTGTCGGGGTGAAACCTCTCCGGGTTGTCGGGCAGCTGCTGCATCTCGTCGCTGTCGCAGACGCTGGTGAGGTCGTCCGACAAGGTGAGCCAAGGGGCGGCGGTGTTCGGGTCCAGAGTGACCGGGGCTGAAGGGAACAAGATCGACAGCCGCTGTTAGATGTTGATTCAAAACACTCTCTGCACAAGATAATGGGAGACGCTGCACACAGTATGCAAGTGTGGTGCATGACGTCACAATTACCCAGAAGTATCGACGGACTAGTGTTTCAGGAACTTTACAGTTTTTGGTCTGGACTTTTTAACTTAACTTAACTTAACTTTGACATATAGAAAAAAACACACGAGAGGAAAGACAAAGTAAAAGAGCTTCATGTGTCGACTTTAAAGAATAAACCTCGAGCGTGTTCTCACTGTATTTGATGATTTTATGCATCTTCTCCCAAACGTGGAACGTCAGAGATCCCACGTATTTGGCCACATCGATGAGCGCCGCTGGAGCCATGACCGGAGCTTCAGCTGGACTGTCGGTGCTGTGGGAAACAAGGTAAATGGACTTTGTGTCTCAAAATATAAAAAAAGAAAAGAAAAGTTTCAAACATAAAAGATTTTCTACCTCGGCAGCGCCCCCTTGCATTTCTGAAACAAAACAAGACATTGCACATCGCTTAAAAACCTGAAGAGAGAAACTGAAAGTACTCAAGCTGATTTTTTAAGACGTTTACAAACGTACATGAAGGACAAAGATGTCCTCTAAAGCCATCTCCTCCTCCAACTCTCTGATCGATGCCGACACGGACGTTATATTTCTCTCAATCTCTTCGATTCTCTGCATCATCTCTCGCTTTTTCTCCTCCTCCTCCCTCCTCAGCTCGTCCATCCTGGCCTCCTCCTCCGCCTGAAGGAAGCTGTGAAGTTTTTGAAACTCCTCTCGGGTTCGTCTCTCCACGTAACGGGCCTGGACCTGGAATGAAAAGCAGCGTATGAGAGAGAGGAAGGCTTGGAAACGATCAACGTGGTAAAAAGACGTTCACGCCAGAAACCCTCACCTGAATGTAAACCACAGTCTCCTCGTAGTTTTTCTTCATTTTGTCAAACGCGTCTTTCTTTTCCTGCAACAAGCCGACGACCGTCTTCATCCTCTCCTGAGCGGAGAGAATTAATTTGAGAAACGTATTAACATAACCTCATAATTGTAACATCCTCAAACACGGCAGCTCACAGGGAGTTTAGATAAACAGCCTGGAGAAGGAGCACATCAATATTCCGCCTCATCCTGAAGAATTCACCTTCACGTCTGCCACGGCTTCGCTGACGGGGCAGCAGTCGTGCTGCTTGTGTTTCCTGGAGGTGTGACAGACCACGCAGATGGGCTCCTTGTCCAACAGGCAGAAAAGCTTCAGCCTCTCCCCGTGGAGGGGGCACATCTCCCCCGGCTCGCAGGGCAGCTCTTCGGCTTTCCTCTCCTCGGGTCCCTCGTCCTCCTCGGGGATGCACGACTCGCACAGGTTCTTCAGGGTGAGGCTGGGCACGGGGTCGTCCACGCTCTCGGCCCTGCACAGGGGGCAGTCGCGGGCTCGCCCCCGCCGGCTCCAGTAATGCTGCAGGCAGGAGGCACAGAAGCTGTGGCTGCACTTGAGGACCACTGGGTCCTTGAAGATACTGTAGCAGATGGGACAGGTGAGGTCCACCTCCTGGAGAGAGAGCCGGCCGGCCATTCTGACGCCTGGGAAACCGAAAGCAGAGCAAACACAGAGACACATGATCAAACACAGGGAGAGTTTTTATTTATACCCACAAGCACTTTCACTTTAAACTGCTGCTCACAAACCAGTGTTTCTAACGCAGTGTTTCTAACCTTTCATGGATCAACTGAGTATTTGTCAGTTTCACATAAGAGGAGCTGGATGTAAACATACCTGACAGCCTGTGACAGCAGGTCCGGATCTGTGAGCACTTCCTACTTCCTGTTGTGTTGAGTCACTTAAAGGAGGAGGAGACTCGATGCTTTAACCCTTAACTCCCCCCCCAACCTCTCAGACTCAGACTCAGAATAAATCCATGGAGGTTTTCACATGTTTGAAGCGTCAACGCAGAGCAAATTCAAACTGATGTTCACTTTTAGGTTTTTGGTTTTTACAGTGTTGTGTTATTTGCTCGTGAACTGTGGTGGACATCCACCTCTGCGGGCTCCGCACTCTTTGAAAATAGAGAAACTAATGTCGCCTGACGTGCTCGTGACTCTGTTCATCAAGTGTCACAAGATTCTGCTTCAGTTTTTAAGATTTACAAACCAGAGAAGTCGAGAAAAACTTCAAGATTCAACTTTAAGAACAAAACAGTAACACTGCACTAAACATGTGAAACAGCCAAAGAGAAAATACATGAAGCAACGTGCCACCGATACAAGTCTGAGCTGTCAATCATGACGTGTCGCCTCGTTCTTAATAGATCCAGACGCTTTGGGCTTCACTTTTAGGAGCCGTCATGTCGTCCATCTTTGGTTCGGTTGGTTAGAACCTGGCAGTCGGAGCTGCAGAGGAAGATTTAACTGACTGACATGAAAAACCTGTAGCTTTGCCCGGTGATGTGACGAAGTGACCTTTACCGTCCCGTCACCTTCAAGAGGAGCTCCAGCACGACGCCAGTTTTTCCCCTTGAGTTGATTTTAAGTGAGATTTCTTTGGAGCCTCCTCGCTGTCTTGTCATGAGAGTGGCAGCACAGATGGTCTGTTTGTCATCTATCACGGAGGAGTTGAGTTTCCAGCAGATGTTTCAGGTTGTGTGTTTTTTTTTTCCTCCACAGGAACGACTCAGAATGTTGTTTTTTTTTTTTTAAGGCGTGCTGAGCTCTGCTTCATCTGAGCAATAAATCATTTCCTATGTTGATATTTAGTTCATAAATTATATATAAAAGTTCTTTACAAAGCTGTTTAAGTTTTCACTTGCAGCAAAGTTGTTTTATTTATGGTCGGAACGTGGTTTCTGTGCTTTGGGGAATTCTGGAGAGATGTTTTTGTAATTAAATATGACATTGCATGTGGATGGTCTTCGATGTTCCATCTATTACAGTGTTTAAATCCAGAAACCTATTTATTCTCAAGTGCTTTTAACCAAACTTATTTATAAAATCTAAGGACACGCCATCATTTTATTTTACATTTATCTGTTTTATGAATTTACCCATTGTAACTTATTTTTAAACGTTTATTGTGACTTATTTTACCTTTTAAAATCTCTGTGCCTCTTTTTTTTAATAATATTGCTTCAGTCTCAAAAGACAACGATACAAGAAGGTTTGTAAAAAATACTGGAGTCATCATTTCTGATTAATGCAAGTTTGTCTGATCCCACGACACTGAGCAATAAAATGTGTCACCACCTTCACACAGAGTTGGTGACATGTTCCCCCTGCTGTTGTATTTATTGGTGCCACTAGATGTCAGGATTTACCCGCGTTGAGAAAAGTGGGCCTCGGTTCCTGAGCGTTCATGCAGACGACTCAGCTTTGCATCAAATTGACTTGATGCGAAACAGACAAATACCAGGAGATAAGATAAGATTTGTCTTTTTTAACCATGATAGAAAAAAAAATACCTGTGACCTGAGGATGGAGCGGTTAAACGTGCACATCTACCTGGATGTCACGGTCGGCCTCAGCCTCCCCCGCTGCCCTGCAAATTGGTTGTCAGCCACTGTGGCCCGGGCTAATAGTGATTCATTATTGCTGGTGTTCTCAGGGCTTCATCAGGGCTGGAGGGGGGGGGGGGGGGGGTGGGAGGAGGAGAGAAGGGGTGCGGGGGGGGAGAGAGTGTTGTGTCAATCTTTCAGCATCTAATGAGGACAGGCGGGCGAACACGGTGCAGAGACAACCTCAGTCAGACCTGTCTAACCACATGATACTTTACAGACAGCATCAGGACCACTCACCAAGCTTTGACGGAGCCCAACTGCAAAAAACATCTATGCACCATCCCCCTCCCTCTTTTTTGTTATTGATGACTGCAGCTGGGGGGGGTGTGTGTGTGTGTGTGTGCATTACCAAACATCATGAGTGACGCATCACACTTTCATATTTATTTCAGCCTTGTACAAGCCTATTTGCAAGTATGGGACCAAAAGTCGATAGTCTATTACGCTGCTGTGTTGTGTGGTTAAGCTGGACGATAAAAAGTGAGTTCAAGCCGGTGGATTTACAGAGAGGCCATGAAATGAAGAAACAAGGGAGGATGAATGAAAAGAGAGAAACAGGTTTTATCGTATGGATTGACGGTGTCTTCGTCTCCTCCACTTCATGACTGGCTCCGTGTTGACACAATTGTTTACTTTTTTTTGCTGCAAAACTATTAGAATATTAGAATATTTAAACATTGAAGTACCTGTTCCTTCTTATTCAACTTTTAAATAGAGGGGTAATAAGAATTATTCATTGTGGCATTTCTATTAGATTCAATGGCCACAAAAAAAGTCATGTTTCTGTCCTTTTGAATTGATATTCACTCAACATTCACGCTTGTTTTAGCTCCGTCTTGGGTCTCCACCTCCTCCTGAGGGAAATATTTAGTTCTATAGCTGATAAAATACTCCACTTGTTCATACCGTGTGTTCATAAACTACAGAAATATACATTTTTAAGATCCTTCTCTACTACTCGAGTGTGCCACTGTGCTTTTTGACTCTTACCACACTTGAATCTCTCAAAATTTGAAGGATATTTGCAGGATAATAACATTCCAGCGCGTGTTGAAGTCCCTGCAGTAAAACGATTACAGTCAGTGGGCAGCAGCTGAGTCAGTGTGCAGTGCACAGAGGACATTATCAGATTAATCTCCAACTTTGGTAATTGTAATTGCTGCCACAGAGGCAAGAGAGGGGGAGAGGGCACCAGAAGCGATTTTCTGCCGTATCAATATTTGATCTTTTCAGATTAAAATACTTGTGACGCGTCAACAAATCATTTCCATGCTCTTCACACGGTGACTCATGAGCAGCCCGCTCCGTCGCCGTCAGCATCAAAGAGGGAAATGCTGCACCTCTATTCCATTGGAGGTTTCTTTTCATTTCGTCTCCTCTTTCACACATGAATTGAGGGCTCCATATAAATTGGATTAAATGCACAATTTGATTACGTTCTGCGAGGCACTCTAAAGCCATGGTACCTTTATTTCTGGTCACATATTGATTTCTCTCCTTTGATAATGGCTGAGAAACTTTTTGACGACAATCTGAAACTGCAAGGCCGAGCTCTTCCCCCTGCTTTCCTTTTGCAGTGTGTGTGTAGGAGGCTTTGACTGAAAACACACACTTGCATGTTGCTCACACACACACACACACACACCGACGTGAGCAGAACCTACACATTAACACCTCGGCATTTTTTTCCATAAACACAAAAAGCATGCTCAGGATTGGAGGTGAATTTCTTATTGGAGGAGCTGCTGGAGAAAGCCTCGGGCTCAGAAACCTCCTGGAGTCTCTGGAAGGTCGCCAGGTTGTGCAGCTTCACAGGAAACCCACAGTTATCAGTGTTTCCCTCATACACACACACACACACACACACACACTGTCACATGCACACCTGCACACAGCGATCCAAACCACTGGAGTTTAAAAGGAGTGACATCAATTCAATAAGCCGAGGCTGACAGGAGCGTAATACACCAACACAGCTGCTCTCTCTGTATCTCTTTGCGAACCCATTTCCCCTCCTGACTTCCTCCCCTCCCTTTAAACTCTGGCTCAGCAAAAGCAGAGTGATGACAATTTTGTTTTAGCCGGATGAATCTGCCGTCCGGGATGACCCAAATCTTTATTAGGTTATTTTTTGCCTTAAAAAAAAAAGAAGGTATAGAGAGTCAGGAAATGGCGTCTGTGTGGTGTCAGGGAAAAGGCTCCCAATCTTTTTTTCTGCAGGACTTGAGTCACTTTCACTTTCATGTCATCTTTGAAATTGGAGAAGCGGGATACCAACTGCTGTTGTTGGTGGAAAAAAAAAAGAAAAAGAATCTCAATTAGATCAAACTCATGAAAGTGATGGAGCGCCTGGGGGGGCCGTGCATTGACCATGGCTATGTGGGTCATTTGGTCCGGGTTGAGGCCGCAGCAGCCTGTCACCATCGATGTGTCACATCAGCTGTGGCGTGACATGACAGGCGGCGGGGCTGCAGCCGTTGATCTTACAGAGAGGGAGGGCGACGCTATCGCGCTCGGAGCCTGCGGCACGTTTGACTTAAATGTGATCATCACCTGCGGATCTTATCTGCTGCATCAAACTCCATCGTACGGGTGGATTTGATCTGCAGGAACAAGCCCCGGGCTCCCCTTCATTTCATCAACCAGAGGGAGGCCGGGGTCTCTTTAGGGCTCAGATGGATGTGCTCGCCCTGCCACTAAGACCCCCAGAGGGCCTCTATCACGTCATATTGCACATTAAAAGTAGATCTGGGAGACGGATACCCCGCCCTCTGAGGGTCTTTGTTGGGGCAAATGTAAGACATGCACTGCTGGATGGATTCGGCAGAATCCCCCAATGACCCCTACAAGTCCTCTACGTGTGTGCATTTGTGTGTGTTTATCACTATGTGTTGCTACCGGGGGTGATAAAATCACCGCAGAGTGTGTGATGCACATAATTCGCTTGATAAACGACCTGATAGCCGTGACCTGGACAAAACAATAGCAGAGAAGAGACGCCACATTAAAGATACATGAAGGTTTTTCCTTTTTTGAGGCTGTTTGTCTTGGCAGATAAATCAAATACATTCACGATGGTTCAGATATTTGGATTTTTTTGTGACCTGAGCGATGATTTAAGAATCCCGGAGGGGGCAAACGTCAGGACGACTTCAGCCTCTGACAATTTCGTGATAGGATATTAATGTTTTTATCTCAGCCGCGAGGAGCATTTGTCCCCATCGCCACAAATGGGATTGCAGCTGTCAGGTGATTTAAAAAAGGTATCGAA